GCATCGATGAAGAACGCAGCGAAATGCGATAAGTAATGTGAATTGCAGAATTCCGTGAATCATCAAATTTTTGAACGTAAATTGCACTTCTTGGTATTCCAAGAAGTACACCTGCTTGAGGGTCAGTTAAAAAAAAATCATACATCTCTGATGTTATGAAACTGGGTTATCCGATTTTTCTTTAAAATTGGTTACCTAAAAATTAAATTTGTAATGTGAAGCGTACTAATAAGTCGTTAATCACTTTACTACCCTTTATTACGCTACTATTATGTATTTAGTATGTGGTGTATAAAATTTAAGAGAATGACCTCAAGTCATGTGAGATTACCCGCTGAACTTAAGCATATCAATAAGCGGAGGAAAATAAACTAACAAGGATTCCCCTAGTAACGGCGAGTGAAGCGGGAAGAGCACAAATTTTAAATATACCTGGTTTCCAGGTCGAGTTGTAATTTGAAGAAGTGTTTTTTACTTTCCGTGTTGGGTTAAATCCTTTGGGATAAGGTATCATGGAGGGTGAGAATCCCGTGTATACCAACCGCAGAAAATTTTAATATACACCTTCTAAGAGTCGAGTTGTTTGGGAATGCAGCTCTAAATGGGTGGTAAATTTCACCTAATGCTAAATATAAGCGAGAGACCGATAGCGAACAAGTACCGTGAGGGAAAGATGAAAAGAACTTTGAAAAGAGAGTTAAATAGTACGTGAAATTGTTGAAAGGGAAACGGTTGAAGTCATTCATGCCGGCAGGAATCAACTTGGGAAACTCTGAGTGCACTTCTTCACTTGGCAGGTTAGCGTCGATTTTGGATGTCATAAAATGACTGGGAAGGTAGCTCTTTCGGGAGTGTTAAGCCCTTGGTAGATGTGATGTCTGGGATTGAGGATTGCAACGGATACCTTTTGGGCTAGACGCCTAGTCTTTAATACGAAGTTGGGTTACGGACAGCATGCTGACTGTGATCTGATTTTCGGTTAAAAGATTAGAGCGAGTGTAAATTCGTTAGGGCGCTGACATAATGGCTTTAAACGACCCGTCTTGAAACACGGACCAAGGAGTCTAACATGTATGCGAGCGTTAGGTATTAGACCCAGACGCGAAATGAAAGTAAGTGTAAGTGGGATCCTCTATTGGAGCACCATCAACCGATCTTGAGATTTATCGATAGAATTGAGTTAGAGCATACCTGTTGGATGGTGAACTATGCCTGAATAGAACGAAGCCAGAGGAAACTCTGGTGGAGGTTCGTAGCGGTTCTGACGTGCAAATCGATTGTCAAATTTGGGTATAGGGGCGAAAGACTAATCGAACCATCTAGTAGCTGGTTCCTGCCGAAGTTTTCCTCAGGATAGCAGAAACTCATTAACAGTTTTATGAGGTAAAGCGAATGATTAGAGGCCTTAGGGTTGAAACACTTAACCTATTCTCAAACTTTAAATATGTAAGAAGCTAACAGGTTACTTAAGTGAACCTGGGCAATCGAATGAGAGTTTATAGTGGGCCATTTTTGGTAATCTAGACAGCAGGACGGTGGCCATGGAAGTCGGAATCCGCTAAGAAGTGTGTAACAACTCACCTGCCGAATGAACTAGCCCTGAAAATGGATGGCGCTCAAGCGTGTAAACCTTGATGGAACGGTCTTTAGTGCAGATCTTGGTGATTGTAGCAAATATTCAAATGAGAACTTTGAAGACTGAAGTGGAGAAAGGTTCCATGTGAACAGTAATTGGACATGCGTTAGTCGATCCTAAGAGATAGGGGAATTCTGTTTTAAAGGAGACTATTTTTAGTCCACCTATCGAAAGGGCTTAAGTTACGGCGTGCCATAACGTGCGTATATCCCGTAACTAAATTTTATATGTCGAAACTTGCCGCAACTCAATTTCATGTGTCGAACTTGCCGTAACTTGTTGTAACTTGTTATATGTCTGTTTTTAGTCTGATTAGACAGAAAATTTTCTTCGGATGAGTTATTTAACTATCAACTTCTTGAGATGTAATAATTTATTTCGCTCGTGAAGTGGTTTTGACAATTGTTGAAAGTAGAAGGCTGACATTATAATTTAATTCAGATAGTGGGGAACTATCATTATTTAGAGTCGAATTGCCTTTGTTCGTATTCATCGTAGAAACAGCTTTCGTTAATAGACGATAATTTCATGAAAATATATAAACTATATTTTTATTACATCATTGATTGATATATTACTATATTTCATATGTATCTATATAATTAATTACATATATGTTGATTGTAGTATTGATTAATTAAATACAAATACTGCCATATCGATAGATATCAAAATTTTAATTTATCGATACGGTATTTTGAATTCATATGGACTTGAGATTCATAGACACTTGGGATTCATACGGCACTTGTGACTCATACGGAAATTGGGATTCATTCTGCAATTGGGATTCATGCGGTTTTGCCGCAACCGTAACTTGCTGTGTGTCGTACGGTTCATTGGGACAGTTGAGCAGTGTTTAAAATTCAAAATGAAAGTTACTTGCACAATTGCATAAAAAAATTTTTTTAACTTGCACAGTATGCAAGTAAATTTTTATTTTTCTACTTGCACAAATATAACTTTTATAATTTATATTTATTTTGTGCAGTTTTTTCTTAAAAACTTACTTGCACATATGCATAAATTTTTTATAAACTTCTTGCACATTGAGAAAAACTCTTGCACATGTGCATCTTGTGCATGCCAATTTTAAACACTGGTCGTGAGACAGGTTAGTTTTACCCTACTGATGAAGTGTCGTTGCAATAGTAATTCAACTTAGTACGAGAAGAACTGTTGATTCGATTAATTGGTATTTGCATCTATCGAAAGGATAATGATGCGAAGCTACCAATCGCTGGATTATGGCTGAATGCCTCTAAGTCAGAATCCATGCTAGAACGTAACGATTATTACCTACACCTTATTTAGTCGAATAAACAACAATACGTATTGACAATCGCCCATCTCTAAGCCAAGTCGATGTGAAATCTAAAAAGCAACTTAAGTTGATTCTAAGTAAATATGTAATTAAAGTGAATTATATTTTATCTAAATAATAAATTGTCAAAATATTTAGATGCAAAATTTTCATTATATTATTTTTTTTTATTTCACTTTTTCATTATTTACAACACCTATCTGATAATCTTCTAATATTGCATTTCAAATACTTTAGCAACAAATTGGCTGATAGGCAATGTTAAACCTTTGTTACATGAAGACTGTAAAAAGATCATTATTAGGCAGAAAATACATTTTTCAACAAACCTTAAGCCCTATAATCGAACTTATTAACTTTGACACAAACCACTGTCCCAACAAGTTGCTGAATTGAATAGTATTCCTTCAACGTTCACAAACATTCGAGAAGCATCGAGTAGATAATCTTAAATGTAATTGCGATAAAAATCATTAAAAATATATAAAAAAAAAAAAAGAATTTGCTTTATGGTACGTAGTAGTTTTTATTGTAGTAATCATAAATGTAAAAGCTTTACGAATACTTTTTAATTTGCGATGCGTTGTATTGTATTATTAAAAAACCATAATTTAGAATGACTTAAATTTCAAAATAATATACTGTGCTAATTTTATTGTAAGTTGAATTTGAATTCTTTAACAACTCAGAATTCTATTATAACCAGAGATGTATCTTGAGCAAGGTACATCTCTAATTATGACCTATGTTTATTCGCAATCAACCCATTCCGAAGTACGACATATATATTAATCATTAATCTAACGCTAATCTAAAAAGTTTCAATTTGTGCTACGCACATAATGATGCTTGTCAAGAATCGTGATCTTTTAAGATGTGTACACACTCCTGGCGAAAAAGTATCTATAGAAGTGAACAAAAGGTGTCCAAATTTGAAAGCGTTTTATAATAATCTTTTTGTTCTTGATTACTCTCTTGAACTTACCTATGCTATGGTGTATTTGCTCTTCATCTGCTCTTTGATAAACAACGCTCGTACTTATGAAAAAAACTTTTCCACTTGAGCATCAATATAGTAAAAATATCTCGATACACCTCCAACAATTTATTGACATTTAGAATTTGTTTTTTATATTATCAAGTTAACAATTCATGATACAGTATTGAGTTTATTTCATGCGCTAGGTTTGCGATTATAATTATTACTATTCTACACCTATGATCTCCAAGGCTTGACTAAGCAATAATTATTATAGACCCCCCTTCTTTTTGTACATCCAAGGAATAATACGTTATACAGCTAAGCTTCAATTCATAGTAGATATTTGTGTATCTGGCTTATATAAAGTTTATTATTGGTAGTAAAAATTATATAATCTAAAAATAACAGATATTAGTTATAAAAATAAATGATTTTTTTATAACAAAATGACTTGTAATATAACAAAATGTCATTTATTTTTAAATGACAACTAGTTAAGTGGGGAATCACACAATGTAAAACATTTGAAAATAACACGATGTGCGATTACATTTAAGAATGAAGACATTGATAGATTAGAAAATAATACAAGAATTGATTTAATTCATTTCTAAAGGATGGGAATATAAAAAACTTCTTCCTGACAAAGTAGTTATGTAGTTAAGGATATATTACATTATTATTTGGATCCAGATTCTAAATCATTATACCACACATTTTCAATCAGATGGGACTTTAAAGTCGACTTAGTATTAATTACCTGTAATAAGAGATTACATTAATATTGACGAAATAAATAGATAATAAAACTATAGATGACAAAAAATCAAAGGGATTTCAATACTATTTTTAATCTTCTTTTTCGAAATAGTTTAGATGGTGGTTTTTCATCTCATAAATTTCATCAAAGGTGTGATAACAAAGGGGCGACAATTGTCATAGCGAAAATTAAAAATCAAAGTTTGCTTATTGGTGGTTACAATCCACTTGATTGGAATGGAGATGATGTATGGAAACAAACAACAGATAACTTCTTATTTGTATTAAATCTTGATAACCTCATAGGATCTATATTATACGTTAATCATACGTTAATAATAGTAGCTATGTGATTTATTGCAATGGACCAAATTTCGGGAAAGGTCCTGATTTGCACATTCCAAATGATGGCGATACTTTGAAATATAGAGTAGAATCCTATTGCCATAAGTTGGCTGGTTCAAATGAATCAGATTCACATGAATTTGCAATCACAAATTATGAAGTCTTTTAAGTAGTTAGCAACCAGGGTGATTACAAAAATATAACAATACAACTGCATAAAAACCAATAATTTGTTCTACCAATAAAATTAACGGCATGCATAATCTTAAATTTGATCGATCGATCATCTAAAGTTATCGTTATATTTTTTGTAAATTTAATAGTGTTTTTTTCGAAATAGCACACATGGGTGTAATTTCGAATTTTAGTTTAAGTTTAAGTCGGGCATGCCTATTATTTTGCACAGCAGTTATTAATCGCTATACGGATTAGATACTTTTACCGCATCTGACTTGACTATTCAACAAAGAGTAGGGCGTACAGGCAGAGATTGCGATGGAACCGCTTTTGTGTACCGCATCCTAGATAAAGAAATGGTTCGTCCTAATCGTGGGCTTGCCAAGAAATATCTAGAAACATTATCATTGTTAACGTGTAATGCTTATTATCGCAAGAGGAAAACCATTTTTATACTATTAACTTTAATTTACATGGACCTTTAGAAATTTCTACTTTCTTGAAAATGGTTGGTGGCGAGTCGGATAACCCAAAACCCCATCAAGATCGGAAACCTGAAAATTCTTTTATTGTCCCCGATTATTCTTGTAGGATGAGTGGTCATATGGTTGAACAATTAAAGAAAGGAAGTAAATCAATGGACCTTAGAGTAGCTGATCCAAGTGAACGTTTTGTCCATTGGAGGGTTAATGATGTTATTACTATTATTAATAGAGAAAACCCTAAAGATTTTATCCAGGCACGAATTAAGCAGATTTTTGAGTACGGTAATCTGTATGCACCGTTAAAGGCACATCAAAACAACCAACTCCTCATATGAATTTACCTGATACCATCTCCATGTTTGAATCTTTTCCTGGTTATTCTAAGAAATGTAAACAATATGGAAGTCTGGTTTTTGCTTTAGAAATAATTTCTATTGAAGAGACTATCCAGTCTGCTCCCGTCCTTAAAAAGGAAGCGGAAAAGATAGTTTTACCTATTAAAAATGAGAAGATGAAGTCAGTTGAGTTGCCGAAACAAGATGTCAGTGCCACGAAAGAAACAGTTCCTGCTAAGCAAATAAAATGGATGCCTTCTGGAAAAAGTATGATTCTGAGGCAGAAGCAAGTCTTTTTAATGATTTGACTCCTAATCAAATTTATAAAATGGTCGATGATTTCTTAGATCTGGTTGCTGAGAGATCTTTAGATGACCTTTTTAATATTTTAAGCTCTTCCTCTAAATTTTAGTATTGGAGTGATGTTATGTGACATGGATCAAAAATATCGTTAGTTGAAAGAAGAGGTCGACGTATAATACAATTTTTTTCGTATTCATCGCAAAAAAAGTTTATGTTCAGTTACAACTAAAGATGCTGGTGAGATTGATGTTGAATTGGTAAAATTAATTTTACCA